AGATGGTGTGGGTGAGATGATGTGGGTGAGATGATGTGGGCGAGATGGTGTGGGTGAGATGATGTGGAGGAGATGATGTGGGCGAGATGGTGTGGGTGAGATGATGTGGGTGAGATGATGTGGACGAGATGATGTGGACGAGATGATGTGGACGAGATGATGTGGATGAGATGATGTGGACGAGATGATGTGGACGAGATGATGTGGGTGAGATGATGTGGGTGAGATGATGTGGGTGAGATGATGTGGACGAGATGATGTGGACGAGATGATGTGGGCGAGACGATGTGGATGAGACGATGTGGGTGAGACGATGTGGGTGAGACGATGTGGACGAGACGATGTGGGTGAGATGATGTGGACGAGATGATGTGGGTGAGATGATGTGGGTGAGATGATGTGGGTGAGATGATGTGGATGAGATGATGTGGACGAGATGATGTGGGCGAGACGATGTGGATGAGACGATGTGGGTGAGATGATGTGGGTGAGACGATGTGGACGAGATGATGTGGGTGAGATGATGTGGACGAGATGATGTGGGTGAGATGATGTGGACGAGATAATGTGTGTGAGATGATGATGAGATGATGTGGGTGAGATGATGTGGGTGAGATGATGTGGACGAGATGATGTTTTGACTCCTGGTGGGTCGGCCTGACCCTGGGTATCAGTTCCCTTTGCTGGATTCACAGCTGAGTCACCTCCCCCATCACTTCCCACAGGCCTTGCAAAGGAAACTTCAGAAAAACACAACCCCCTCCTCACCTAAGTACATGTGTTCCAAGATTTAAAATAGTAGGATTATTATTTTTTGTCAGATTCATTCAGGGGCTCTATCTATCAGATTTCAAGTCATTTTTAGGAATCGTAGATGCTCCCATTTCAACGCCCTGGAGGCACCCTAGCTAGCGCCCACATTCCCACCAGACACTACGAAGCTGTGAATTGCTATCCTGGCCTCCATCCTGGCCCTTCCTCCCTGTCCCAGGAAGCGCCTGAGAAGTTCCAACAAAGGCCCCATATCCCCCCAGAAGGGAGGGGTGTTTCCCCTTCCCCTCTCGCCTGCCCCCCCAAATGTACCATTTCACAGTGCACCGACCCTGTGATCTCGGGGAGCACCTTCAATTAGCAGAACTGCCTGGCAGGGAGGGTCCTTGTTTGGGGTAAAATATAAGGAAGAACATGAATAGTTGTCTGTCTTTAATTTTATTTATTATTTTTAAATTATATATATATTGATTATTAATTTGGGATGGCAAACCCACTTTGTCTTGTTCGTTCTGCTTTTATTTTTTAAATATAAATATATATATATCTTTATGGATTTCAGAGAGAGGAAGGGAGAGGGAGAGAAATATCTATGGTGAGAAAGAATCATGGATCAGCTCCCTTCTGCACGCCCCCTACTGGCGATCGGGTGCCCCACAGGGGGTAGGGGGGAATTGAACCTTGACCTACTGGTTCATATAGGTGAGCGGTTCTCAACCTGTGGGTCGCGACCCCTTTGGGGGTCCAACAACCCATTCCCAGGGGTCGCCTCAGACCGTCGGAAAACACATCTATAATCACATGTCGTTTTTGTGATTGATCACTATGCTTTCATGATGATCAATGTGTCACCATGAAAATCCATCCTGCAGATCAGATATTTCCATGACGACGCATAACAGCAGCCACATGACAGTGATGAGGTAGCCACGGAAATAATTTCATGGTTGGGGGTCCCCACAGCATGGGGAGCTGTATTCAAGGGCCGCGGCCTTAGGAAGGTTGAGAACCACGGATGTAGGTTGACCTCCAACCACTGAGCCACACCAGCCGGGCTGGTGTCTGTCTTTAAAACGGGGGGGTAAACTGTGCGCCACGGGCCCAGGAGACGAAGAGGAGTAGGTTGGGGAGATTCCTGGAAGGCCAGACCCAGGTCTGAGCAGGGTTCCCTGGGGAGTGGGGGTGGCGGGGAGGTGGGGGGGCAAGCTCGGGGTCCCCATCTCAGGTCTGGCAGGTTCCAGACCCTATGGATCTGCAGGGAAGGCCGGGTCCCTGTAGGTTTTTTTGGGGGGAGCGCAGCAGTTTGGGGGCTCACTCCCAGGTCCCTGGAGATCTGGCCTGTAGCCCCGAGGCCAGAGGCAGGCTCGGTGAGGGGAGAAAAGAGATCGTGCCGCTCAGAACCCCAGACCTTTGCCCTGGCCCAGATCCTCTCCATCATAGTCCCGTGTCCCCAAAGAAGACCTCCCTTGCAGGCGGGTTCCCCAGACTCGGTTGGGGCCCCAAGACGCGCGTTCCCATCCCCGCCTCCTCACCCCGGCCTGCTGTGGGGTGGCAAGGGTTGCCCACGCCTGGGCCGCCACGCGCCCGCCTCCCCCCCCCCCCCCCGCGCGCCCTGCCCCGCGCGCCGGGCTCCGGAGGCTGGAGGGCCCGGCGCGCGCGCCTCCTCCTCCCGATGCCTCCCGCCTGCATAATGGATGAGCGGAGATTTGTAATTCCGTGTGATACCCGCGCGCCGCCTCCTTCGCTTTGATTCGCGGGGCCGCGGCCGACAAAGACCTGTTTGTTCCGTGGCGAGGGCTCCCTTCTTCTTCGGTAGAGAGAGAGAGAGAGAGAGAGAGAGAGAGAGAGAGAGAGAGAGAGAGAGAGGCCGGCTGCTCTCCAATTCCCCCGGCTCCCCTCCGTGCGCTCTGAGCGCAGCACGCGGGGCTGAGCAGCTGGGACCCGGAGCGCAGAGGCGCGGGTGCCGTACAGCGCTCCCGGAGGAAGGATGAGGTCGGACGGGAGAGAGCGAGACAGAGAGAGAGAGAGAGAGAGAGAGAGAGAGAGAGAGAGAGAGAGAGAGAGAGAGATGGAGAGGAGGGAGGGAGGAAGAGAGGCAAGGAGGAAAAGCTAGGGTCTGTACCCTGCCTCTTGGGGAGACACCCCCCCCCCCCCCGCACATACACACCCCAATCTCTCTCCACACTTGGATGAGAGAAACTGGATCCCTGGGTCCCAAAGGCAAGACGCCTGGGCATTTTCCTCTCTTTCTTATAAAAATTATATATTGCAGCCGTTCCCAGCCCGGCTCCCCGAGAAATATAACCAATTTGGTGCCTGGGATGGATCGGTTGTTAGTGACCCGGATCCTACAGCGGTGAGCACCCCCCTCCCCTCCCGGGGATAGGACCACCCCTGCTCAGTTTGGAAAACTCTCCTAATCCTGACATTTCCCTCCCCCCTCCCAGATCAAGGCTCCCCCCGAAACACACACACATGCACGCGACCCCCAGGCCCCGTAATATTCCGGATAAATCCTTCCCGTTTCCTTCGCGTCGCCAAAGGAGATGAGATGGCCCGGATCCTGGGCCTGAGGACACAGACGTTCCAACTTCAGAAAATGCGAAATCAAACTCTCCCCAAACAAACAAACAAACAAAAAACCCCCCAAAACCACACACACACACACACACACACACACCATCCCTCTCCCCCCCCTCCCCAAACCTCGCCTTAGTTCCAGAGTGGGAATGGAGGGGGGTAGGTCGGGGGAGGGGGAAAGACGGAGGGGAAAGAAAGGCAGGGGGAGAGAGAGAGAGAGGGGGAAAAAAAAAAAAAAAAAAACAGGGAAAAGGGGAAAAAAGTCAACTTTCTTTCCAGATGGAGTTTTGCACCCGACGAGCTGGTCTTGGCTTCGGCGATTGTCCAACGCGTTCCCGTGTCGCCGCTGCCGTGAAGCGAAACGGTTTCCTCCCAAGCGCTTTGGAGAGGGAGGGGCGCGTGGGAATGAGGGCTTGCCAGGGACACCCGTGACACAGCCCAAATGTTATATATATATATTTCTCCCCAAAATAAAAATCCTAGACACCAGGTTTGACAGTCCTAAAGAAGGAGGCACCGATCCGGGCCAGCGGGGTTGGACGCGCGCGCGCACGCGCGGGGATCAAAACGATTCTTGTAGACAAATTCGTTCTTTTCCGCGACTCGCGAGCATTTCCACGTTTTCACAGAAGCGCGCCCAGCCCCCCAAAGCCGGTGTCTGGGCAGCGCCCCGGTCCTGGGCAGCGCCCCGGCCTTCCCGGCGGCGGCCGCCCCAGCGAGGTCTGCGAGCCGCATCTCACGGAAGAACCGGGCGTCTTCCTCTCCCTTGCGGGGTCCCGCAAGCTGTCCCCCAATCACGCAGCGCGCGCGCGCGCGCCCCGGGTCCTCGGGTTCTCTCCGTGGCCAGCGCGGGCAGGTCCAGTCAGCCTTCCACCGCCTCGTCGCCAACTTGAAGTCCATTCCTGCGCGTGATGGCGCGTCCCCCGCCGCCCCGAAGCCCTCGGCCTCTCCGCGTGGCCTCGCATCGACCCAAACCCGGCCCGGATACACATCATCCCAGGCGCGCGCGGAGCTGCGCTCCTACCCGGGCCGGCCCCGCCGGCTGGGACCTCCTCGCCAATCCTTAAACTCCTCCTCAAGTTTCGTTTCCGCCAGCCCCAGAGAGAGAATGCGGATACCTGTTTTGGGGGGGTGGGGGGTGGGGGGGCGCTGACGCCTGCGCCCGGCCGCTGCCTCCTCGCTCGCTCGCTGGCTGGCTGGCGCGCGCGCGCCCTCTCTCTCCCTCCCTCTCTCCCTCTCCCTCTCTCTTCCTTCCACCAAATTCGCTGCGTACCTCTCCGCTCCAAGGTGCAACAGACGCCCAGCCCGTGATGAAATGAAAAGAAAGCCAATTGCCGACGTGGAGGTGGGAGTGGGGGGTGGGGGGTGGGGGGCAGAGATTGCGTCTCGGCGTGCGCCCCGCCGCCCCGGAGCCTTAATTGCTGCCGACAGGGGCGCGCGGGGGGGAAGCTGGGCGGAGGTAGCCGGGTATAAATAGTGAGACATCCAATTGAGAAGCATAAATCACCGGCAGGAGGGACCTACCCTCACACGGGCCGTCGTCTCCGCGCGCGCGCGCCCCGGGAGGTGTGCGCACCCCAGCCCCCGGCTCCCAGCCAGCCAGCCCCGCCGAGCCCCCCGCGGACCCCCGCCGGCCCCCCTGGACCGCGATGGAGGAACTCACGGCGTTTGTATCCAAATCTTTTGACCAGAAGACGAAGGAGAGCGGCGGCGGCGGCGGCGGCGGCGGTGGTGGCGGCGGCGGCGGCGGCGGCGGGAAGAAAGATTCGATCACCTACCGGGAAGTTTTGGAGAGCGGACTGGCGCGCGCCCGGGAGTTGGGGGCCTCGGACTCCAATCTGCAGGACATAACGGACGCCGGCGGCCACTGCCCGGTGCATTTGTTCAAAGACCACGTGGACAGCGACAAGGACAAGCTGAAGGAGTTTGGCACCGCGGGGAGGGTCACGGAAGGTAAGCTGGCCGGGGGGCCTCGTCTCCTCGCCGCCGCCGCGGAGCCTGCACCGCCTGCCCCATTCGCTCCGTGCGCGCGCGCGCACCGCGGGGAGTCGGCTCCTGGAACAGCGGGTTCGCTCTCAGTTCTTCCCCAACGGATTAGCCACGGCTCTCGGATGGAAAGGATCTGGCTTTTTCGTTAGAGAGGAAGAAAACGGGGGAGGCCAGCGCGGAGGCAGGGAGGGGAGCGAGGCTGGGCAGGGGCCGGACTCCCTTCTCCGGGCGGGCGTTGCCACTGGCCGCGGTCTGGGGGAACTTGCCAGGGTTGGGGTCGATGAGAGAGGGCGAGGGGGCAGGCGCCTAAAAACCAAAATTAGCCTCCCTGCCACTCTTCCTCAAATGCAGACACCCTCGTGCGCACGGAGCGGACATACCCGCGCGCCCTGCGCTCCCCGGCTCCCCGGAGCTAGAATCGGGTCGCGTTGGGGATGCGCGGGGCCCCGGGAGTAGTCGGGGCTGGAACGCGCGGTCGCCTCATCCGCCCCCTTAACCTCTCCATAGTTTTCGCTCAGGGAAAAACTCTCCCTCGCTGCCCCCACCCCCTCGCCCCTCGCCCCCAACCCGCTCCCTTGAACCTGGAGATTGGATCCTGGCTGAGCCGAGGCCTGGAAATTAAAACCACTCCTGCGCCCGCAGGTGGCCAGCGTCTGGCTGTGGCTTTGAAGGGCGCCCAGGGAAGCTTTAGGCGGCGGCGGCGGCGGCCCTACCCGAGGCTGCGAGAGCGCAGCCGGCCTGCTGCTCGCAGACGAGAAATCTGCTCCCTGGGCTCGCCCTGTTGTTGAGTCCTGGGGGGCGGGAGCGGGTAGGGGGGGCGCAAAGTCCGGATTAAGAGAGGTTTCCCAGCTGGACAGCGGGGGGGGGGGTGTCCCACCCCGGGAGTTGGGGGGGCGGAGAGGGGGAAACGCTGAAACAAGGCAACTGACAGCGAGCCATCCGTCACGGGCAACAAATTGGTTACATTTCTCAGGGCTGCCTCATTACCGACGGCTAAAACGTTTAATTTTTATTAGGGGGGGAGGAAAGGCACAGGACGCTGGCCATTTGGATAATTTGGACACAGGGGTCTAGTTTCTGTTACTTAAATGTTGAGAGAGGTCAGGGACGGGGTCTCCCTAGAAGGGGGTCCCTCCCCTCTCCCCCCCCTCCAGCATCCTCGTCTCTCTCCGGCTCTTGGGGGACGCTTAGGATGTGGTGGCCGAGTTGGATGGTGCCCCCGTGGCGTTGAAGCCGTAGGCCCCGTGCGCATGACCCAGCCGCGTTTTGGAGGCCTTGACCTCGTAGAAAAAAAGCCCCCCCCAACCCTCCCGCCCCCCCAATTGCTGGCTTGCCTTGCCTCGGGGCTGGTCTCCCACACCTGGCTCTGTAATTCATACAATAATGACTCTTTGCTTTGATGGAGAGAGAGGGGCCCGCTGGCTGAGCTGGACTGGGGGGGGGGGGGGTCTGACATTGAATGTCAGAGGGTTTTACGGCGCTAGGGGGGCTCCTGCCTGGCTCCCCCACTTCTTCTGAGACTCCAAATCCCCCAGCCGGTGCAGCAAGAGCCTTTGCAAATGTCCAGGCCCGTTCGTTCGTTGGAAAAGCGAAGAGAGGAGAAATACGAATGAGCATTCGTAGGAAAGAGAGAAGGGAGGACCGAACCCACGTTCCCATTTGCACCTACGTTTCCCCCTCCGCTAGGAATGCAGGCCCCCACCAGGCTGAGCGCCCCCCTCCCAGGCTGGTATTTGGGGAGCAGCACGAAGGCACCCTCCGGCACCCTGGGGCACCCTCCCCGAGAAACCCCGGCGGTCCGCCTGCCCGCTGAGCTGAGCTGTGGATTTAGCAAAGCCGGCTGCCGCCCTGGCTGCTTTGAAAGGACTTTGAAAGCCCCAGCGTCTCAGCTGGGATCCATCGTCCGAGGTTCAGAGTTCAGACGCATAAAGCGCGGAGCATGTGGTCGCCTCCGGGAAGGAATTTTTACTGCCGGGGGAAGGGACCGGGAGCTCTCTCTCTCTCTCTGTCAGAAAGACGTGCCGTTTTCTGGGTTAAAAAAAAAAAAAAAAAAAAAAAAAGCAAGTTGGGGTTGAGCGTGGACCCATGAACCGGGAGCTTGTGGTTGGATCCAGGGTGCTTGGGTTTTGGACTCGATCCTTGGTGTTGGGGGGCGAGCAGGGGGCAGCCGGTCCCGGATTCTCTCTGGTCGTTGTTGGCGTTCCTGTCTCTCTCTCCCTTCCTCTCTGAAATCAGTAATAAAAATATCTTTAAAGAAAATAAAATGCAAGTGGGGGGTTGGCAGCCAGCAGCCAGAAACCCCCTAAATGGGGAGGCAGAGGCTCAGGCAGGGTGCAGAATGGGGGTTCGCTGTCCAGCTCAGGGCTTGGGGCGTGGAGGGCCAAGGGCCCCCACTTCTCTCCTCTCCCCACAGAAGTCCCGAACCCCCACCCCCACCTCCTTTGAAAGTTTCCGCCTTAATTGATGCTGCTTATTCGAGATGGTTTCAGAATTGGTAGAACCCGGGAGTGTCCGGAAGATCAATATCTTTTAAAAACACACACACACAAAGCGATTCATGTCAGAGAGGAAGGGAGAGAGAGAGAGAGAGAAACGCCAGTGATGAGAGAGAATCATGGACGGGCTGCCTCCTGCACGCCCCTCACTGGGGATGGAGTCCTCAACCCTGGCCTGTGCCCTGATGGGGAATAAAACCGCGACCTCCTGGTTCATAGGTCGATGCTCAACCTCTGAGCCACGCAGGCTGGGCCAGACGGTCAGCATCTTTTCCTTGGCCCCCAGGGGACATCTAATTAGGGCACCGATGTGCTCAGCCATCCAAGGATGGAGAGGAGAGGGGAAGGGAAATTTTGGGGACGCGGCTCACGGCAGTGTCAGTGGATTTTAAATCCCTGAGCTTGGCAAGAAAGGACTCCATTTCCAAAAGGCGAGGAGAAGTGTCGGGGGCCAGACGCTCCTAGAAGTTGACTGTCTTGCCTGGGACACACACCTCCCTCTCCCCTCTCCCCACCCCCGCCCCCCAACTCACTCCTCCCAGCAACTACAGACGCTGCCTGATTTTTGGAAATAAGAAAGTTCCACGCTTGGCGCCCTGCTGGGGCGTGTTCCGGACCCGCGTGGGTGCGAATATGTGTGTGTGAAAGAGAGAGTGACAACAGCAGGAAGCCAAGGGGCTGAGCTCACCGGCGCGCACCCCCTGGTGCGCATGGAGACCAGGGTGGGGGGTCGTGTGCCCAGGTTCCTGGCGAGAGCGGAGGGAGTCTCCGGCTGGCTCCTAGGGCTCGGCTGGCGCTTGAGGAGACAAGACGAGAGAGGAGAGAGAGAGAGAGAGAGAGGAGAGAGGGAGAGTCAGGCTATCTGCTTCTGTCAACAGACACAAAGTAAAAAAAATAAGGGAACCGTTTGGAGATCAGAAATACGGGCCCGCCAAGGCCTGAGTTGTTACAAAATACCGCGTCTTCTCCCCCCCTTGAGTTGCTTTTATCGACTTTGACGCAGACTTGGCGTCAGGGCGCGAGTGGATGGCAAGGCCCCGCTTGCACACGCTTCGGTTTCCACCGGGGCGCACGCAAAAGTGTCCACCGCGCGCGCACGCGTGTGTGCGTGGCCCGTCTGTCAGGGGCCCAGGGCGCACGGGCCCCGGGAGGCGCCCACCGGTGATGAAGGGACTGGGCCCAGGGCGCACGGGCTCGGGAGGCGCCCACCGGTGGTGGTGGGGACTCCGGGTGGTGGTGGGACTCCGGGTGGGCGCCCCAGGGCGGTGGCGACTCGGGGAGGCCTCAGCGCTGTGCCCTCCTCCGCCCGCCCGCCCAGCAGGTCTCTATGACTGCAAGGAGAAGCGCGAGGACGTGAAGTCGGAGGACGAGGACGGGCAGACGAAGCTGAAGCAGAGGCGCAGCCGCACCAACTTCACGCTGGAGCAGCTCAACGAGCTGGAAAGGCTCTTCGACGAGACGCACTACCCGGACGCCTTCATGCGCGAGGAGCTGAGCCAGCGCCTGGGGCTGTCGGAGGCGCGCGTGCAGGTAGGACCGCGGCGGGTGGGGAGGGGACCCGGGCCGGCCTCACCACCGCCCTCGGGCCCCTGGGGCGCACCAGGGCGCCTGGGCACCTTCAGGGAGCGCAGGGACACTGGGGACCGGGCTGGAACCAGGCCCTTTTGGAGATGCCGCAGGTCCTCGCGCGCATGGGGGAGGGGGGCGGGGGGCGCACGGTTCTCTGGGCACGAAGGGCACGTGCCCTGCCTGACCTGCTGGGAGAGAGAGAGAGAGAGAGAGAGAGAGAGAGAGAGAGAGAGAGAGAGAGAATCTTACTATGTCTAAGCTATCTTAATATGTCCAGATTGTCAGGAATTTGGGTCATTTTCCCTTCTCATTTCCACCTCTTTTTCCTCCTGAGCAGCCCCCTCCCTCTATTCCGGGGAACAGAGAGAGAGAGAAATGGGGGGATTGGGGAGCGAGGGTTTTGCACATGCGGCACGTTGATGAGCTGGGCTGCTGCCCACGCGGGGCCGGATTAGGCTCAGCGCCCTCGCGGGGCTCCAGGAGGGAGGAGGAGGGGGGGACGGACGGACGGAAGCCTGGTGCCCCATCTGGCCAGCCCCTGTCGGAGGCGCCCTGGGTGTGCGCGCAGCACGTGCGAGGAGGAGGAGGAGGAGGAGGAGGAGGAGGAGGAGGAGGAGGAGGAGGAGGAGGAGAAGGAGGAGGAGGGCGCCCGAGCGAGGCTCTGCGAACGCGAAATTAATAAGTAATAATTTATGGATGAGGGGAGACCAGCCGAGGTCCGTTCCCTTCGTGCGCAAGCAGCGCTGACACCCCCCTGGGGAGGCCGGCCATCCGTCTGTCCCTGGGTCTGTCCGTTGCCACCGTTCGTTCGGAGAAGGGCAGGAGGGCCCGGGAGTGGAGGGCAGGATCCTGGGGGGCCTCTGGGGACCGGTTTTACATACACGGAATTAATTTTGCCAACCGGGGAAGCCACGGGCTTTAAAGGAGCCGCCGTCTTGTTGGCGCGGGCGGCGACCCCACTCCTGGGAACCCAACTTCGTCCCCAATGTGTGTGTCCCCGAACAAAACATCAAATGCGTATTGTTTGTTGTTTTTTTTAAAAAAATAGAGGGTGTTGTCCGAAATCCTGCCAATCGAAAAAAAGTGTGTATATATCCATTTTTTTTTTAAAAAAAATATGTTTTAATTTGATTTCAGAGAGGCAGGGAGAAGGGAGAGAGAGAAACATCCATGAGGAGAGAGAAGGAGAGAGAATCTTGGATCGGCCGCCTCCTGCGCGCCCCGCACTGGGGATGGAGCCCCCAAAACCCGGGCCTGTGCCCTGACCTGGAATCGAACCCAGGGCCCTCTGGGTTCCTAGGTTCCATGCTCAACCACTGAGCCACGCCGGCTGGAGTAGATATATATATTTTTTTCTTTTGCTCCCAAGCATGTCCCATATTTTTGTTTGTTTTTGGACTTCAGAAAGCGAGGGCGACTTCCGATGAAACGCGACCAATAGACATTTGTCTACTGGTTTCCAGAACCTTCTGGGCATCGGTGCCCCCCCGCCCCCCAAACATGGGCAGAGGAGGAGGCCTGGGGACCTCCTTTTCCTTTTTTGGGGGGGGGGGTGTCTCCGTGGCCGCAGCCAAGGGGGGAAGGCATTTATTTATTTATTTTTTTATTTTATTTTTGCCGGCCACCCTTCTCCGGGAAGATGAATCGGGCGGCGCCCTATAAATTAATGAAAAGATTAAACTTTGTCCGGAGGGGACATCAAACTCTCCCGTCATTTCCCCCGTGTGGTGAGTCTGTGTCTCTCCGAGCCCCGGCCTCCTCCGTAATATCTCTCAGGCCTTGATGTAGTGTTTCGATAAAAATAAATTACTTGTAATTGAATTCCGCACTATTTCACTCCGTAGTCTATTACGCCCAGGCCGGCAAGCAGCGCACAAGCCAAAGCGCGCGGCCGGCAAAAAAACGGGCCACGGAGGGGGCGCAGGGGCGCAGGGGCTCAGACAGTTGGTGGGTGGGGTGCCCGCAGGCCTCCCCAAAGCCCTAACAGAAAAAGGGGGACCCCCAGTGAGTAGCTACCCATCCGATCCGGCAGGCAGGCAGGCAGGCAGGCGACGGGAGAGTTACAATGTCACGACCGTAAATAACAATTAAAAAAACACGAACGCGGAACACAAAAGCCGCGCGCCTTTGGGCCAACGGGGACCAGGACCGCGTGAAGAAGAAGAAGAAGGCAAGAGGGCAGACGAGGGTTGTGCCAGTGAGTTAAGGGGAAAAACGTGTCACTGAGGGGGGGTTGGCAGAGGGAGAAATTTTTTAAAAAAATAGGGGGGTGGGTGGGAGGCGAACAACACGACCGCAGCGCGCGCGCGCGCGCCTCGTAATCCCCTGCGCAGCCCGTGCGCGCCCGCTCGCCACCCGCGTTTCCATTTCGTGGGGGTGGGAGGTGAAGGGATGGGGGGCCGAGGGAGGCGGGCAGAATTTGCTCTAAATAAATTGCGGCCCCGACAACGAAGCTGTCGCTGATTAACCTTTTATTTTCGAAGGGTTGTCCCCGGCTCCCAGCTGCCAGCCAGGGTTGTAAATGGAAAGTTATGAGCCCCCGCGCGCGCGCGGTAATTTAATTACCGGCAAATATCTTTCGGGCTGGATGGCGGGGCGGCGAGCGGGCTAAATTAAATGTCATTATTCACTGTCGGTAATGGAAATCAAAAAGGAAATCCGATTAGGGGTGTTTTCGGAGGGAGATGGGTGAGTGCGCGCCTAACCACCGCCCCCCCCCCCAACCTCTCCTGTAAATGAAGAAATAAGTGTCTAACGCAGTGTCGGTCGCTTTACTTAGCATTTTCACGACTAATTGGAATTGATCGCGAGTCACCCCCAAGTTTGATGGATGCTCGCGCGCCCGGCGCGCCCCGGCTAATTCATCACTTTTATTCCTCATAATGTTTTTGTGTTTTGTTTTTTTTTTCCTTCCTCTCTCCCTCTTCCCCTCCCCTCCCCAACCTCCCCCTTTTTTCCCCTGCCCTTGAAGGGGAAAGTGAGCTTGGCTTTTTTGGATTTAACTAGGATGGTGCTTTTTTTTTTTTTTGGAAAATGCGCTTGGGGGTGCGGGGGGGGGGATAGGGGGTGCGCGCGCGTGCGGAATGGGCCCTGGTTCATGTGAGTTTCTGCTCCCCCAGAACGGGGGTGTGGGACCCCCCCAGGAGAGGAAGGCGCCCGGATGGACAGTGGAAAATGTTCAGGCCACCCGAATAGGGCGACAGGAGGAATACGATCCATCCTATAGTTTTTTTGGAGGAGGAAAAACACACACACACACACAAAAAGACCCCAAAACACAACACGGGTCAAGATTTGGGGATTTCAAACTTGTCGGGTGCGAGGCGAAGCAGGTCTACCCCAGAGACTCCCCAAACCGGCAGCCACAATGAGGGGACAAAGAAACACCCCCAAATGCAAGAACCAGAGAATTCTCCAGAAAAAAAAAAAGAGATACAGGGAATGCAGATAAGACCTGTATCGGGTCGGACACAGGGTTTAGAAGTTGCTCAAAAGCCCGAGAGAAAAGACAGTCACCATGAACACGGAAATAAAAGGATGACCTGGCACCACTAGAAAACATTGGCAGGAATACAAACTACAGCGGGGCCTTGACTTGCGAGTTTAATTCCTTCCGAGACCGAGCTCGTTAAGGAGCTCGTTAACTCAAATTACTCTGTCAACTCAATGCAAAAACATCGGCCCAGAGGCAGCTGGTATCTCAAAAAACTCGTTAGTCGGGACACTCGGGACACTCGTAAGTCAAGGCCCCACTGTAGTAGGTTGGGGGGGTCCTTTTTGGGGGGGAATTTTCAGCAGAGCCATGCACATCCCCCCTCCTCCCCCTCCCTGCAGCTTGGCGACATGAATTTTGGAAACTTCTGGAAAGCCAGTTCCCATCGCGCATGGGGTGGGGTGGGGATGGGGAGGGGGGGCGCGGGGATGGCTCAGCCTGGATGGAAATCTTGTTTCTTCAAAGTCTCGCAGGGAAACGTTCCGATTTCAAAGACTTTCAGGTGTTGCCAACCGCCGGGTTTCGCGCCTGCTCCAGGCTTAGGGGTGGGCGCGTGGAATAGGACGCACGTGTGCGCGCGCGCGCGCCCAGCGCAGGGGTCCCCATGGAGACACCGGGGTGGAGTGAGGGAGGGGATGATTCCTTTGTGTCCTGGTCTCCTGTAACGTGGCCAGGGAGCGTGGAAACCAGTTAGAAAAAGAATTAAGTAACTGGGAACTTTTTTTTGGTGGGGGCCGGGAGGGTGTCCAAATTTGTCTGCGCGCCTGAAGGCCTCCTGTTGACTGATTTGGGGGTGGGGGGCGGGAGGGGTGCTGGGCAGCGCGGGGGAGGGGGCTTTGGGGCGTTGGGTGCGGAAGATTTTTTTGCCTTTGACCAGCCAACTCAGCTGGGCGAGACCTGCCTCCCACCGCCCATTTCCCACCCACACTCTCTCCACCATACACCCCAAGAATTAGGCGTCTTTGGAGAAGCGAAGCCCCTGAAAATACATTGGTATGGATTCAGACAGAGAGGAAGAGGGAGAGAGAGAGAGAATCATCCATGATGAGAGAGAATGATGGATCGACTGCCTCCTGCGCGCGCCCTACTGGGGATCGAGTTGGCACCCCGGGCAGGTGCCCTGGCGCTCTATCCACTAGCCACACGGGCCAGGGCAGGACTCCCTAGCCTTCACTGGGCTTCCCAGGAGGACATGGAACTTGATGGACTTGATTGGGGAGAAGGCGGGGATTTGGAACTATTGATCCACCTGCGTGCGCGCCCCCCCCCCTCCTTCCTTCCTTGGCAGCGAAATTCCCAAAAGTGTAAGATCCGGGGTGCTCCCAAGGGGTGACAGGGTGGAGGGGCGATGCCCACATAGAAGGGTTCCCGCCCCGTCCGATTTGGCTCAGTGGATAGAGCATCAGCCCATGGACTGAAGGGTCCCGGGTTCGATTCCGGTCAAGGGCACCTTCGTATCTGGATTGCAGGTTCCCAGGTTCTGGTGGTGGGGGGCGTGCAGGAGGCAATCCATCGATGTGTCTCTCTCACATTGATGTTTCTCTGCGTCTCTCCCTCTCCCTTTGAAAACCAACGGAAAAATGCCCATGGGTGAGGATTAACCAATAAAATAAAATAAAATAAAATAAAAAAAGAAGGTTTCTCCATCCCATTCGCCATCCCCACACCAGCTTCTTCGCTTTCAATGTCTGCATGTCGCCCTAGCTGCTTGTGTGGCTCAGTGGATAGAGCCTCAGCCTGTGGACTGAAGGGTCCCGAGTTCGATTCCCGGTCAAGGGCACATGCCCGGGTTGTGGGCTCGATCCCGAACCAGTCCGGGGGCGTGCAGAAGGCAGCCGGTCCATGATTCTCTCTCCTCATGGATGTTTCTCTCTCTCTCTCTCCCTCTCCCCTCCTCTCTGAAATCAATAAAAATATATTAAAAAATAAATCAATGTTTGCACGTCTTCGCTCCTCTCTCACTGAGTGGGTGGGAACAGCCCACAGAGAGCTGGGCGAACCCCACCCTAGCGGAGGACGGAAGGAGGGGTAGCCAGTTTGGAGCGTGTGGTTAGGGCAGGGGATTAGATGCCCCTAGAGGCCTCGCCCTGGGCGGGCACTCCACGCCAGAGCGCGTGGTGCAGCGAGGAGGTGGTGGAGGGTGGGTGGGGGTGACGCCCTTGGTCTCCAGGCCGGGCCTGGCTCACCGGGTTCTCTCTCTCTCTCTCTCTCTCTCTCTCTCTCTCTCTCTCTCTCCTCTCTCTCTCTCTCTCTCTCTCTCAGGTCTGGTTCCAGAACAGGAGAGCCAAGTGCCGCAAACAAGAAAACCAGATGCATAAAGGTAGGCGCGCGCGCACACGGGTGGCGACGGGGGCGCGCGCTGAGGCGCAGACGCGCGCGCGGGGAAGATGCGCGCGCGCGGGCGCCCGTGCGCGGCGCGTTCACGCGTCCTGTCTTCCCTTCGCAGGTGTGATCCTGGGCACCGCCAGCCACCTGGACGCCTGCAGGGTGGCGCCCTATGTGAACATGGGCGCCCTGCGGATGCCTTTCCAACAGGTAGCCGCGTTTTCCTTTTTCTTTCCCCGGTGGAAACCTGGCTGGGCCCCTCAGCCTCCGCCTCCGCCTCCCCCTCCCTCCCCTTCGGCTCCTCCCGCCCCCACCCCCCTCGCGCAAGAAAAGAGGCCGCTGCTACAAAAGAGCATTTATAGACCCGTTGGCACGCGTTAAATTCACGCTGTAAAACTGCAAGGCTCACCTTCAGGGGAGTCCCAGGCCGTAAAACTAAGCACCGTGTTACCAAAATCCGAGGGAGGGAGGAAAAAAAAATCCCACCTACCCAAGGAGCCACCCACATACTCACCGCCAGGAGCCTGGGGTAGGGGGCGGGGGTTGGCGGGCACTGGGGTGTGAGGGCGGGGTCGACGCCCAAACCCGACCCTCCTCGCGCGCGCGCTAAGGGCCTAGGCTAGAGGTGTCTGCGCCGCTCCTGGACCCAGCCTTGCCCCACACCGCGGAGTTGGCGGGCCTCTGGCCCAGCTCCGAACACCGTCCGGGGCGCGCAGAGCGCAGCCCGTCCTGCGTGGACAGGGAGCGGCCATGGGGTGGCAAGGTGCGTGGGGTCCCAGTGTCCAAAGGGCCACGCCCGGTTCGGGACCAGAGCTGGGTAAATGGTGGAGGTATCCTGAGAGCGCAGAGCCCCCCAACCCCGCGCCCTACCTTGCGTGCGGCGCGCAAAACCAACTTGGCACGCCGGTTGGAGGCCCCACGTGGGGGTGGGAGTGTGCGTACTGGAGCAACATGGGTACCCTGGGCCAAGCAGAGGCGTGGCTGGGAACATGGCGGGGGGGTACCCCCTTTCTAGTGCTAGAGCGCAGCGCCCCCTCCCCCCGCTACCGGCGCCCTACCTTGCTTGCGCGCAAAACCAACTTGGCACCCTGGTTGGGGCGCCCACGTGGGGGCTGGGAGGGCGCACGCGGAAGGGACAGGGGCGCGTGTCCACGACGCAAAGCTGTTTTACCCCAAAGTGCGGGCCCAAGGTTATATGGGGACCAGTGTTGGCTTGGGGGCAGGGCCAGAGGTCGTGGGTACTGGGGGACGTGTAACGAGACGCCTGGGAGACGGATGGGAGGAAGGGCGAGTTGCCTGGTTTCAGGCTTAACGTGCTCAAGGCCCGAAGGGCGTCCAGGGCCAAGGTGCTGGGCGTGGGGTGCACAGACATGGGGGTTCAAGCCCTCCCCTTGCCTGGGCCTCTCACAGCTCAGCCCCTCGTCCCCAGAACAGACAGGGTGGCCCTTCAGCCTCCCTGGTACCCCGACGTGGGGTCAGCCACGAGGCCCTGATGAAATTAGCCCGAAGGTTTGGCTGTGCGCCCCACGAATTTGTGAGGTCCCTGGGAACGTGTGTGAGGGGGGAGACCTGAGCCCTCTGCCCAAACCCAGTGGAGCCTGATTCTGGGACTCCTGTGAGGTCAAGGAGAGAGAATTCGGGGGCTCTCGTGATGAGGGGGGGGCCCAGCTGTAGACACCCCAATGTTGGAAAGGACTTGAGGGTGGGTATCGCTCAGGACGGGGGTGGGGGGGACGCGGAGATCTGGTGGGTTCCCCAGTTCAGGATGGGACGGACACGGTGAGGAGACGACAGCCCCTAGTCCCCCAGAGGAGTGTGTGTGTGTGTGTGTGGGGGGGGGGTCCCCAGGCTGGGGCAAAGGGGTTGACTCCAGGGGATAGAAGGAGAGAGGCAGGCAGCCCGTGGATTCCATCTGGGCAGGATCCTAACCTTCCGGATTCGCCCCCCCTCCTCCCCCCGCCACCCCCGCAGGTCCAGGCCCAGCTGCAGCTGGAAGGCGTGGCGCACGCCCACCCGCACCTGCACCCGCACCTGGCGGCGCACGCGCCCTACCTGATGTTCCCGCCGCCGCCCTTCGGCCTGCCCATCGCCTCGCTGGCCGAATCCGCGTCCGCCGCCGCCGTCGTGGCCGCCGCCGCCAAGAGCAACAGTAAAAACTCCAGCATCGCCGACCTCCGGCTGAAGGCGCGCAAACACGCCGAAGCCCTGGGCCTCTGACCCGCCGCGCGCCCCCGCCCCGCCTCGCGCCCGCGCCCGCCCCGCACCCCGCCGCCCGCCCGCCCGCCCGCCCGCGCTGCGTCCTGCACTCGACCCCCTGCGCGCGCCCCCCTCGGCCACGCGGACTCCGGACCGGGCCCTGGCGCAGCGGCCTCCCTCCTCTTCCTCGCCAAGGGGGGACAGACACCCTACGTTTGGCTTGGAGAGGGGGGCCTCCCGGGAACGCACGACCCCGCCAGACCCTCGCAGAGACTGGGCAGGAGAGAGACCTGGTGACTGGGAGACCCTCGGACCCAGCTCTCGACCTGGGACCCACGTGGCGTTCGGACACGCTTCTCTCTTTCCGCTGAGCGCACACGCGCGCGCATCTCTACCCCGTGCATGCGGCCTCCTCCATCCACACCTGTTCGAAGATTAAGATCCTATCAGAGTCTGTTTCTCACACACACACACACACACACACACACACGCCTGAAAATGCGCATTTTTCTCAGTCTGCAACGATGCGACTCACGGCCAGGAATTTGCTTCTATCCATCCGAGCAGCGAGGAGCTGCGGGACACCGTGCGGATTTCAGGGCGGACACGGGTCGCCCCCGAAGCTGGGACCGCTGGTGCGCCCCGCGCGCGCTCCCCGCCGCCGGCAGCAATAACGCATCGCACCTGGTGACCTCGCCAAGATGAGGGCGGGAAAGGCCCCCGATCTTCCGGTTCAGGTGGGCAACCCCCCCTCCTCCGCGCCCCAACCCCAGCGCCGAGTTTAGGCTTTCCTTGTGCAACTGCGTGACCTTGTTTCCAGAAGAGGACAAACTGTGTAACGTTTCCAGACTCTGGATCTCCAGCCATGGACATTCTTTGCAGACGCGCGCGCGCGAGAGACACACACGCGCACAGGGGCGCGCGCGCGCGGGGTGGGGGTCAGCCGGAAGCTTAAGGGGGGCGGGGAGGGGAAAATGCAATGAAATCAGCGAAGTGCAATACTGTAAATACGATAGATTTTAAAAGAGAGACAAAAAAAATCAGCCGTGCACTCTGGACTGGTGAGTCTCGGATTTATGGGGGCGTGGGGGCGCGCCCTTACGTGCTGGGAGCCTGGCCGGGTGCGGGTGTGGGTGCGCGCGCGGGGTGGGGTGGAGGGGGGACCCTCTGCCCAGCGAAGGGAAGGGAGGGAGGGGTTCAGGGTGCACCGGATTGGGTGCCAATGGGGTGCGTGGCGTGGGATGGATGGGGCAGGATGGGGGTGCTGCAGGTGACCCCGTGGCTGAGCTGGTGGTTCTGGGACTCGCAGGCTGGGCGAGCGGGCCAAACAGCGGATTCCAAGATCCAAGATCGGGTCTTGTAGACCAGGGAGTTTTTAAACTTTTTCTTCTTCTTTTTTTTGGGGGGGGGGGGGGTGTTTATTTTGTGCTTTTTATTCTTTGATGGCTCCTGGTCAGTCACCCAAAAGCAGGGGACTGTGGAAGGGACAGTCTCCGTGACAAGGATATACCCAAAGGGTCAGGGTTCATGGCCACGCACCTGCATTTGGGGGTGTTGTGTGTGGCAGGTGCTGTGTATGTGGGGGTGTGTGTGTGTGGGGTTTGTGGGGGGCATGAGGCCGCCGTCCTGGGCTCCTGTGTGTGTTGTTGGCCTCCTCACCCAGGCCTGGCCAGCCCGAACCCCCTTCTCCATCCTCTCGTCTCCCCTAACCGGACGGTCTTGCCGGCCTCGGCCGATGACTGGCTGTTTCCAAAAGCGGTTTTTGTTCCTTCTCTGTGTATCGGTGGTCATTTCCTTTCCGTATTCCCCCTCTCCCCCAGCGTGGGTCCATTTCTCCTCCAGGACACACACTCACACACACACACAATTCCATCCACGGGAAGCAGTGGTTCCCAGCCTTTTTCTCGGCCAGCCCCGCCCCCCCAAGCGCCTCTAAAATCCCCATGCCTCTCCCCGCGTTACCCCCGTGTCATAGAAACCTTATTATCCAAAAAGCGCACCCCTATTCCCGCGAAGGAAGCCCGAATTAGGCCGTTCACTCGCGTCCAAAGAAACACCGCAAACACGAAAGAGAAAGAAAAAAATATACAAGGACGACAGGACGGTGGATGTGCCCGGGGGAAGGCATCCCTAAGACATTGTTTGAAAAAATGATAATAATAATAATATGAAGGAATGTGAAAAAATGGCCAATAAGACGTATAATGGAGAACTGAGATGCAGACACAGGTCGCAGACAGTTACATCCTGTGTACGCGGCCCCTAGGGCCGGGGTCGGCAAACGGCGGCTCCGGAGCCACATGCGGCTCTCTGGCCCCTTGAGTGTGGCTCTTCCTAAACCTTAGGAGTCCCCTCATTAAGTCAATAACAATGCACCTACCTATATAGTTTAGGTTTAAAAAATCTGGCTCTCCAAAGAAATTTCAACCGTCGTCCTGTCGATATTCGGTTCTGTTGACTAACGGGTTTGCCGACCACTGGCCTAGAGCCCTAGGAAATGCCCCAAATTTCCCCGTTCGTCGCTTATTCTTGGACCAGCCCCCCCCCCTTAAAAATCAAACTGCCCCCCGTGGGGCGTGTACCCCGTGGGGAGCCCCCCTGGTCCACCTTTTGGGCCGAAGAATCGTGTCGTCGGTACATTTGTCCGGTTCTCATCCGTGTCTCGTCTGAAAGTCTTGGGCGAAATCCAGAGACGCCTTTAACTTATTATTTTTTTTTTCTTTCCCTTTTTCCTGGTTGAAATCTTAGTCAAAGCTCTAAAATGACAGAGAGAGAGAGAGAGAGAGAGAGAGAGAGAGAGAGAGGAGCAGGGTCCGTGTTTTAAAACCCCTGGCCAACTGGTTCTCCCCGAATGGGCTGCCTTGAGCTGTTCAGCAGCTGTGGCAAGCAGACAAACACGTCTTCTGTCCCTTCGAAGGCAAAAAAAAAAGCATAAAAAGCAAAAAAAAAAAAAGCATTTGGACTCTTTTACAAGTAGCTGCGTTGATCTGAGATTTTAACACTTGGCTGACGTGGGAGAGAAATGTGTGTACCCCCCCCCCCTCTCTTTTTTCCCCCCTAAAAGGGTTAGGATACGTTTTACGGAGGCACAGCCGTCTGTCACCACCCACTCCCCCGAAACAAAAACTCACTCAGCCTGAGCACGGACCCACCAGGCCCGTGGATTTAAGCGGCAGCTGAGGTTTTGCAAGACAGCTTGGGGCTGTCAGCTGCAAAGCCGGTGGTGGCCTCCAGCCTGCTCTATGGGCACGCTAAGGGGCATTCCCCAAATCTTGCTTTTTTTAAAAAAATATATATTTTAAAAAACTCATTTCCGAGACGAAGGGAGAGAGAAAGAGAGAGAGAGAGAGACAGACAGAAATATCCACGAAGAGAGAGAATCATGCACCGGCCGCCTCCTGCACGCCCCACGCTGGGGACGGAGCTGGCAACCCGGGCCTGTGCCCTGGAGCGGGAATCGAACCCGGGACCCGCCGGTCCGCAGGCCGGCGCTCTACCCACTGAGCCGCACCGGCCAGGGCTCCTTGATTTTGGGGGTTTTGCGTGAGCAAGCCGGGCGTAGCTGGACACCCCCAAACGGTGTGAGTGTCCAGGCCTTGGGCAGGGCTGGGTTTTTCTTCTGTTTTCTGTTTCGGGAGCAAAACTCTACAAGGGACACAGCCACCACCCCCCGGGTGCCTCCAGGACGGACGTGAGTGAGAATCTCGCCTGCGGGGTCCGAGATGTTTTTTTTTTCTTTCCTCATCGCCTCTGCTTCCGGGCTGTGAGCTGGGGTGCTGGGTGCTGGGGTGAGGGGGGGCTTGCATGCATTGTCTGTGGGTCTTGCTTCCTGAGGGGGTGCGTCTCGGAGGTTGTGGTCAGCTTCCCAGGCTCCCCGAGGCATCCAGGGGGATGGACGGACCCGTGTTGGCTGTCCCTGGCTGCTGGCCGCCTCCTGCTCGAAACGAGAGCCTTTTTAGCTGCATTTGTGTGGTTTCCACATGGCATCGCGGGGAGTGAGCCGGGAAGGTCGGCCGGACCCGGGGGAACCGTGGGGCCTGGACGGTCAGGCGTGCTGGCCAGGGTGCGGCCGATCTCTGGAGACGCGTTTCAACCCCAACAATGCTTTTCATTCCCTGAAACGTCAGCCCCTGGACTCCTTCTCCCTTCTGTCTGGGCGACACCCATGTCTTCTGTCTCTTTCTCCGTCCCGTTCGCCTCTCCCCGCCGACCCCCCAATCCTGGCCTCTGTCCTGGGGCCGTCGACACGGCCATCCTCTCGCCCGGGGGACGGTTTTGGGGGAAAATCCAGGATCTTAAACTGGACACACTGTACAGAGCTCACGGCCCAGGCCCTGTATTCGGATGAGGAATGGCTAAGCGTTCCCAGACCAGGGCACGGGGCTGTCTGTGCTTGGTCCGGCTTGCTTTTATTTTTATTTTAAATATATTTTTATTGGTTTCAGAGAGGAAGGGAGAGAGGGGGAGAGAGAGAGGCAGCAACGAGGAGAGAGAATCAGGGATCGGCCGCCTCCTGCACGCCCCACGCTGGGGATCGAGCCTGCAACCCAGGCCTGTGCCCTTGACCAGGATTCGAACCCATGACCTCCTGGTTCCTAGGTCGGCGCTCGAGCACGGAGCCAGGCCGGCTGGGCGGATGGTGTGTTTGTACGGCTTCTGCAGGGTGGAGGGGAAATCTAGATATTGTTTATTTTTATATTTTTTTGCATCGTCAGGGGTCCGACCTCACACTCACGCCCACCCTCTAGTTAGAACCCCAGGCTTGTCCGAGGCCTCGAGAACCCCGAACCCCTTTTTCCCTTTTGCTGTTTTGCTCCCCCAAAACCGGGGCCCTGGGAGATGCTGGGGTGACCACAATGACCAACATTTTTAAGGTACCTTTTTTCTTCTTCTTTTTTTAAAAAATTCTTTTTGTCCGGACGGACACGGGAGGCCGGGGACACGGTCGACATTTGGAAAAACAAAGCCAAACCGAACCCACAAACGAACACACACAGAGACACACACACGCAAACACCCCC